CTGTCATGCAGCAAGTTTTCAATTAATGGAGCTTAGAAAGGTTAAGTAATTTGCTGCCAACCACACAGCTAGATGAATGATGGAGTTGGGGTTCCAGCACATCAGTTGGAGCACACAGAGGCTGGTCACTTCACTTTACATAGAGTAGAAACAATCAGAAGAAAGACAGGTCTATGGTGTGGCTATGGTGATGAGCTTGGTTTTGGACATGGAAACATTGATGTGGGGCAGGGGGATGTCTAGGAGGCAGGTAGACACATGTGTCTGGACTCAAGAGAGGTCTTGGCTAGAGATGTCCTTTCCCCACAATCATCCCTAAGGGTACATGTGAAATTATAGTCATCAAGAGTACACTACCTAATAGCCAAGTATCTGACAGATGGTGTTTAATAAAATTTTGTGGCCAAGATTATTGTAAATTCTTTAAGTGGTTTTAGTCAGACTTTTATATTTGACTATTGATCTCTCTTGCTAACATTTTTTATGATGCTGTAGAATTGTTAACTATAATGAAAAGCCTATAACTCAGAAACATAAAAGCCATTTCCTAATCAGTAAGAAGTTTAAAGATTTCTATATATTAAAAGCCACCCCATTAAAAAGTTAATTAACCTTTAGTCAAAATAACTTTCTAAACTTCATCTCCTTCAACTATAAGCATTTTTCAACTCTTTTAATATGCTGAATAATTTGTTTAGCATTATTTAAGGAACAGATTCCTAGTATAGGTTGTGTCCCAAATTAAATGGAGAAAAAAATCTTTAGTACTCATCAAGTTCAATCTTATTTGCCTTCTGGCATCACCACCCACTGCCTCCCACCAAATACTTTACCACGCTGTTGATGTGAAGTTGTCTGTTTGTATGTCAGAAACCTGAGACGAAAAAACAAGTGTATTTACCTGGATGCGTTTATGAAGACAATACATTTGTGTATAGCAGGGGATGGCAAACTACAGTTCACACGTCAAATCTGGCTCGATGCACGTTTTTGAATGGCCCAGGAGCTAAGGCTAGTTTTTACTTTTTTTTTTGCTAGAGACAGGTTCTCACTATGTTGCCCAGGCTAGTCTCAAGCTACTGGTCTTAAGTGATCCTCCTGCCTCTGCTTCCCAAAGTGTTGGGATTCCAGGCATGAGTCACCACACCTGGCCCTAGTTTTTACATTTTTAAATGTTGAAAAAAATCAAAAGAAGAACAATATTTCATAATGTGTGAAAATTGTATAAACTGCAAATTCTATTTTATGGAAACACAGCCATGCTCATTCATTTACGCATCATCTATAGCTGCTTTCATCCTACAATGGCAGGGTACTTGCAACGAAGACCGTAGAGGGTGCACTCACCGCTTTGCATTGCTGTTCAGCAACCTGCAAATCTCGAAGATGAGGTTACAACTCCACGGTGTTTCAAGTACCATGAATATCACTGTACAGTAACATGGCTTTTTAAATTATCAGTGCTATAGCCATCATGTCAAAAAATAAAAAATAGAATCTGGCCCAAAAAAAAGAAAAAAAGGAGAGAATAGTGAGCTCCAAATGTCATGCTTTTAAGGCACAGCAGAATGTGTATTAATTTGTTATTGAATTAGGTGGTACTATGATTTGAGTGCTACACCCAAAGTTTATACGTTGGAAACCTCATCCCCAAGGCAACAGTGTTGGGAGGTGGGGCCAATAAGAGGTGATTCGGTCATGAGGGCTCTGCATGAATGGATTAATGCCATTATTGTGGAAGTGAGTTAGTTACAGAGGGACTCATAGAGGGTTTTTTTATAAAAGAGAGCTTGGCCCCTCTTGCTCTCTTGAGCTTGCCTTCTCATCCTCTGCCACGTGATGACACAGCAAGAAGGCCCTCACCAGTTGCCAGTACCTTTATATTGGACTTTCTGGCCTCCAGAACCATGAGTCAAATGAATTTCTGTTCATTATAAATTACAGTCTATGGTATTCTGTAAAAGCAGCATAAAACTAAGACAGATGGGAAAGCATTGTGTTAATTATGCAGTGATACTACAACTGTAGTCAAAGAATACAATATAACAGATTTAGCAATCATCACAATATTCCCCACTCATAGGAAAACAATGGCTAGAAAAATTAGAAAAGTTTAAAAAGAATACTCATCACAGCACAATTTCTTTACAAAAATAAAAATGAGACTACAACCAAATAAGTTCCTTCTGAGTGGCTTGGCTCATTTGTTAGCCAAACAAGGAAAGATATTTATGGATAATGAATTAATTAAATCATATTTGATTATAGCAGCAGATGAAATATGTCCAGTGAAAATAAACTAGTTTAGGACTAAAAGCCTTTTGATGACAGTTGTTTCTTGAAGAGTTGAGGACATTGGGAGCAATAACAACAGTTAATTTAGAAATGAGTTCTAGTGGTTTTCCTTGGTTCTTGATAAATTGACAAATGTTACCTATACAGCTCAATTGTTTTTTATTTGAGGAGTCAATACTGAGTTTGAAGTGAATGAATTAATTAGCTTCTATGAATAGACTGTATTGGAAAAACTATGGGAAAGATTATTTTCAAAGAAAATAAGGAAATACTAATTCAGTAGAACCTGAGGTGGAATCTGCTAAGACATGTTACCACTGTTTGTATTAAAAATTCTGTGAAGTAGAAAAGGGCTTTGGGGGCAAATTTAGAAAGCCTGTGAAAACGTAAGATGTTTAAAGCCTATGATTACTTATTGTAATATCCATCGTAAGGTACTTTGTGGAAAATACTTCAATCTATTATACATTATCGAACCAGTAGTATCAAAGGTGAATTTCATTAGTTTTTTTGGACTTAACCATTGTCCATTTTGTAAATTTTTGTCAGAGACAGAAACTAAATATCCTGTCACATCAGCACTAGCAGATGAATATTTGCAATTAATTTTGATGATAGGGAACATTAATTTTGAACTCCAATAAAGTAAAATACTATCTTGTCCCCCAAATGTATTTTTCTCAGTACTAAACCTGTATTACGAAAGCATATACTTACTTACTCATATCACATTTTGAATTTTATCAATAAAAAATTGTGGAAGCTTGTTTTCCTTTGTTGTATAAGTATCTACATAATACCCTTGATTTTGCCTCTTGGATAGTAAACACTAAAATATTTACTATCTGGGTCTTTATAGAAAATGTTTCCCAGCTTCCGATGTATAATCTCAATTTGTGATACTGTTGTGATGGTTAGTTTTGATAGTTAACTTGGCAAGGTTATAGTTCCCAGGTATTCAATTTTTTTTTTTTTTTTGAGACAGAGTCTTGCTTTGTTGCCTGGGCTAGAGTGAGTGCCGTGGCGTCAGCCTAGCTCACAGCAACCTCAAACTCCTGGGCTCAAGCAATCCTTCTGCCTCAGCCTCCCGAGTAGCTGGGACTACAGGCATGCGCCACCATGCCCGGCTAATTTTTTCTATATATTTTTAGTTGTCCAATTAATTTCTTTCTATTTTTAGTAGAGACAGGGTCTCGCTCTTGCTCAGGCTGGTCTCCAACTCCTGAGCTCAAACAATCCGCCCGCCTCGGCCTCCCACAGAGCTAGGATTACAGGCGTGAGCCACCACACCCGGCCCCAGGTATTCAATTAAATGCCAATCTAGATGTTGCTATGAAGTACTTTCTAGATGTGATTTACATCCACGATGGTTGCCTTAAATAAAGGAGATTATCCTCCATAATCTGGGTGGGCCTGATCCAATCAGTTGACATGCCTTAAGAGTAGAACTGAAGTTCCTTGAAAAAGAAATTCTGCATGTGGAGTATTCCCATCCTGCCCTTCTTGACTGCCTGGTCTGAGGATTCCAGTCTTGTATAGCCTGCCCCACAATCACATAAGCCAATTCCTTGCAAGCAATCAATCTCTCTCTCTCTTTTTTTTTTTTTTAGAGATGGAGTCTCACTATGTTGCCCAGGCTGGTCTTGAACTCCTGGGCCCAAGCAATCCTCCTGCCTCGGCCTCCCAAAATGCTGAGATTACAGGCATGAGTCTCCGAGCCTGGCCAATACATTTCTTTATATAAACACATATGCTACTGGCTCTGGTCCTCTGGCGTCCCTGTAAAAGACACCACCTGATTTATGCTGCCAGAAAACTGAAAAGACAATAATTTCAGAGAAAACAAAATTAATAATCTTTTGCTGCCTGTCAGCTGTGATATTGCCTAATCTATCTTAATGACTCTCTAGGGTAAGGAAGAAAGGGGTAGTGAGAGTTATGAATAAAGACAGAAAATTCAGGAAGCCTCAAATTCAGCCTTATCACTGTGGATCAAAAATACATTGTTTCTGGATAGAATCTGTTTAAAGTGCAAAAATGAGATTTTGTGGGGAAATGTGTCCCATAGCCTACCTCTAGGACTCTTTCCTAGGGTCCACTGCTGCCAGCTGTTAGAGCACCTATGACCTCCTGGCTCTGTTGGTAAATAGTGGGCCTATGTATTTTCAGAGGAGAGTTTCTCCAGCTTTCATCAGATTTTCCAGTGGGTCTGTGGCACCAAAAGGATAAGAACTACAGATGGCCTCCCTCCAGGTAAATATTTAACTCTTATATGTCACCTGCTGTGTACCTTGTCTTCTCTGATGGTCACAATAATCATATGACGTAGGTACCAGTATCCCCATTTTACAGATGAGAAAACTGAAGCTTAGAAATGTGAAGTAATTCGTCCTGGTCTGGGTTTGCGCCCAGATCTGACCCCAAAGCTGACGCTAAGGGGAACTGAGGAGCACGGTCTGCTCAGTCGCTAGGCTCAGGAGTCAGGGACACTCGCTGCACTTGCTGTGGTCGTCTGGGTACCTGCCTGGCCTCTGCCCGCTCGCCTGGGGAGGAGACAAGTTCGGGGTGGCCTCCAAGTTTTGGGGGGAGGGCCTTCTAGCCACGGGGCACCTTCTAGTGTGCCCCGGCCCAACAGGAGGAGGAGGAGGAGGGAGCGGGGCGCCCCGGGGAGGGCGGGCCCTGAGAGGGAGTTTGAAAAGAGGAAGGAAGTGGGGCCCGGCAGAGCGCCCAGCCACCCCCTACCGGCTTCCCCACGAGAGGACGCGAGGCCCCCGGCCCAGCCATGGCCCCCTGGCGCAAAACTGACAAGGAGCGGCACGGCGTGGGTAGGTGCGGCGCGCGGCCCGCAGCAGGGAGAAGGAAGGACAGGTGGCGGGAGAGCCGCACGCAGAAGATGCTGTGGCTTCTGGCGGCGCGGGCGCGGGCGCGGGCAGGGCGCGCCGACTGAGGGTCAGAGGGCGCGGCGGCCCCTTCAGCCTGCAGCGGGCGGCCCGGGAGCGGGAGAGGGGAGGCAGCGGCGAGAGGAAGGTGGGCACCCCACCAGCAGGCCGCGCCCCGCCCGCCCTCGCCCTCCCGCCGGTCGCGGGCCGCCCCCTCCTGGAAAGCTTCGGCGTATCCGAGACGGGGTCAGGCCAAGGGCTTGGCAACCAGGCTCCCTCCGTGTGCCGGGCTCAGCGTTCCAAGGCGCGGACTCCATCGCCCCATTGATGACTGGGCCTCGTAGAAGGAGCCCCACTGTGTCCTCCGCCTCAGCCTTGGCCGGCCCTCCGTGCCTCCCCGCACCCCTCTCCAAAGGACACACATCTGCCCGGCGTCCCCTGCCTGTTCTTCCTGGGTCAGATGACCCCTGCTTTGGCAGAGCGTCCAGAGCCAGTGCAAACCTGGGGCATGGGGCTGGAGGGTGGGATCCTTCCCTCGGCCCCAGAGACCCCTCCTGCCAGGTTATCTGGGAATAACCAACCAAGAAGCTGGTCTTATCAGCTTCAGCCATCTAAACTCCCAGAGGCCTCTGCCTCAAGCTGAGCGGAAGTGGTGGCTGGGGGAAGGGAGGCGGCAGGTAGGACTCTTTCTACTAAGTGGCATCGGTGGTGCAATCCCCGTAGACTCACTGTGGTTTTCAAACTTAAATGTCAATTTAAAAATCACCCTGGAGCTTGCTACACAGGCAGATACCAGAGATGAAGAGTTAGCGGGTGAGCGTTCCACAACCCAAGTGCCCAGAGTGATTAGGTGCAGGGTGCCCCCAGGCCACTGTTTGAGAATCACCATTCCGGAGAGAACAACATCCATTCACTTACGGGGCACGAGATACTGTCGGGCACTTTAATATGAATGGTCCTCATCCAGAGAACAAATAGCAATTCATATCCTGGGGCGGGGATTACAAAGTGAGGAGGGGTACAGCCAATGCTCTTGAGGAGTTATGGGTAAGGTTAGAAGCTTGGACTGGGAAGTCAGAACCGAGTTAGAATCTGGGCCTGTTTCTTCATCTATGAAGTGCGAATATACTAATAACCCAGGTCTCACGAGATTGTCATGAGGATGGAAAGGGGTAAGGTGTGTAAAGCCCTTGGTAGTGTGCTGGCTCGCTGAGAACTAGTGGCTGAGGTCAAGGGGCTCACCTAGTAGTTGTAGAACCAAGAGAGACACAGTCATGTACCCTAATGCCAAGTTCAGGACAGCCATGCCTTATAAGATTGTAGTATTTTATGGTTTACCAGACCCATTCTCATGCAATGTCTTTGTCTCACTTCAGAGCCATCCATGTGAGGCAGTGTATTATTATTCCCATTTTATAGATGAGGAAACCAAGTCTCAGAGTTCACATAACTTGGAAGTAATGGAGCTGGGCCTTACATTCAATTGTCTCCAGACCCTAGGCCTTTTGCACTGCACCAGGAAGGCATCCAGGAGGGAACATCATGGGTAAAGGCAGGAAGCTGGAAAGCATGTTGCATGTGGGTCAAACAATAAATAGTCCATTTTGGTTTTAGTATTGTTTGTAGTGAAAAAGAACATGGAAGAGATAGATTATGGCCAGATTGTGAGGGCTTTAAGTGCCAAACTAGCAAGTCTGGATTTCTTTCTATGAACGCTGGAGGTTTTGAGGAGTGTCACCTGTAAGAAGTTGGTATACTTAATTGGAGGGACAGGGATTGTACTTAGAGTAGAAGGGACGTTGGTAACAATTTTATCTGTCTGCTAACTGACTGCCTGGTTAGTTAATGTGGCAGGAGGCCATTTATAAACAACATTGCCCTTTGCCCTTTACCAGATTAATCTTCTCTGCTTGAGGCTTTTGTCAGTGAAGACAGCTTTCTCCTTGGAGGGGAGAGGGAAGGGCTAAAAAGGAGGAGGTAGAAAGAGAAACTAACAGTATCAGGATTAAGTGTGACTATGGGTGACAAAAAGCCTCCAAGATAGTGGTTTAACCAAGCTACAAGTTTATTTCTCTCTCACATAGAAAGCCCGGAAATGGTCTGTGAAGAGGTGGAAGGGTGGCTCATTCTGTGTCTTCCACTGCTTCCTTGGCACGTGGCTTCTTGCCTCCTGTACCACACTGGCTGCTTAAGCTTCAGCCATCAGGTCCACCTTCCAGCTGGCAAGAAGGATGAAGGGAACAAGAAGACTGTGGCTTTTCCCTTTAAGGATACTTAAATGAAGGCACACTTGATATTTCTCATTATGTCCTATTGGTTAAAACATAATCATATGACTGAACATAGCTGCAAGGGAAGCTAGGAAATGCAGTTTGTAATGTAGGCAGCCATGGGCCCACTAAAAATGAGGAGTTCTATTCCTAAGGAATGGGCGAGGAAGGATATTGGGGATGATGTATTAGTTTTCCAAGGCTGCCATATAACAAAATACCACAGACTGGGTGGCTTAAACAACAGAAATTATATTATCATAGTTCTAGAGGGTAGAAATCCAAGAAGGCCAGCAGGGTTGGTTTCTCTTTTTCCTTGGTTTTCAGATGGCTGTCTTGCTGCTTCTTCACATCATCATCCCTCTGTGCAGGCACACACCCTTGGTGTCTCTTCCTCTTCTAATAAGGACACTTGACATATTGGATTAGGACCTCACTCTAAAGGCCTCATTTTAACTTAATCACCACTTTATCTCCAGATATGCACTTATCTTTAACCATGGTTACATTCTGAGGTACTGGGGTTTGGAACTTCAACGTATGAATTTCGGGAGGGACACAAGTCCACAACAGATAATCTGTGGTATCTGACATGGTATGTAGGGACTATAAAGAGGGCTTCAACACAGGGGTCCTGAGATAGGTTTATTTACCCTGAAGCTGGGCCTGCCAGGCAGATCTGTGTGGGACTTCAGTTATGCTTGTAGGGGAGGAAAAAATTTCTTTCTGTTACCCATCTTGAGTTCTCTGGATGGGGCCCTGCAAATTAGACCAACACAAGAAAGATGAACAAGAGAAAAACAAACAGAAGTTTTATTAGCATGTTCACTGAACTTCCACATGGAGTGCACAGAGATGAATAACTCAAAGGAGTGGTTTAAACTTGGGCTGCGATAGAATCTTGGCAAAGGAACAATAGAGGTTTAGAGAACTGACAAGACAAAGGAAAAGTGTTCGAGGCTTCTATGGGCAGCAAACTGTGGGAAGGCAAATGTACGGGGGAAAACTCAAGGAAGATAAGGACTATTCGTGCAGGTCCATCTTGGAGCTGACTTTCTGTCTTCCTTATGTCCATAAAACTTAGCTGGGAGAGGAGATTTATGGCAGTCCTTATTTCTTAGAAGTTTCTGCTTCTAGTCAGATAAAGGAAGAGCTGGGAAGTCTTCTTTCCCCATTTGTGGATTCTTATTTGCCCTTCAGCTCAAAATAATCCTTATGCAAAGTGGCATATTTGGAGTGCATATTTTGATCCCTACAGCTCAGGTGTTCTCTGTGCAACTTGCCCCCAGTTATGGTGTTGCTCCATGAGTGGTATCTGGTAAGTATTTGCTGGTTCCCTCTGAAGGCTGGGAAGAAGAGTCTGTTCTTGCTGGCAGTCTCTGGCATTCTTTGGCTTACAGACGTATCGGCCTGATCTCCACCTCCATCTTCACATGCATTCTCGTTGTGTGGGTGTCTGTCTCCACATTTCTCCCTTTAGAAAGGACACCCAGTCGTATTTCATTAAGGCCCACCCTAATGACCTCATTTTAACTTTATTACCCCTGTAAAGACTGTCTCCAAATAAGGTCACCTTCTGAGGTACTGAGAGTTGTTAGGACTCTAACATCTCCCCTTTTTTTGGAGGGTGGGGGGAGGCACAATTCAAACCATAACAGGCTCTGCAAAAGCAGAGAAGGGATCTTTTCCACACTTGGTTGGGGAGTATGGAAGAATCCACAACCACCCCCTGGTCCAGCATGTGGGTGCTGTTACTGCAGCCCAGGACCCTGGACAGAGCTGGTCCGCGCAGAGACTGGCAGATTTGGAGGGGGCAATGCACGCTGGACTCTTTTGCAGCATGGGCTCTTGTTACAGGGAACAAAATCCATTCAAATTAGTTCAATTAAAATGTGTGTGGTGTGTGCACGTGTGAGGGCAGAGGAAATGGTGTGTTTTAAAGGCCAGAGGCATCACACGAAAATCCAGGAAACGGGAGCAGCCAAGCCTCTACAAGGGTGTGAACTGCCTCTCCTCTCATGGCTTCTCAGCTTCTCTGGGGGGGAGGAGAGGGACAATTCAAACCATAACAGGCTCTGCAGAAGCAGAGAAGGGATCTTTTCCGCATCTTGGTTGGGGGGTATGGAAGGATCCACAGTCACCCCCCGGTCCAGGGTTGTCGGCTCTGTCCTCCTTTCTGTCCTCACCAACTCCCTCTGATTTCATTGCTCCTTCTTAACTTCGATCTTCTGTGACACCATAATGACAGCCCAGCATGCCACCCACCCCTCTCTACACGGCATCCACCAAGTTGTCTCTCTGTTGTGTCTATTTGTTCAAAGTCCCAAGAGAAGATTTGGAGTGGTGGCTTGATTCATCTTTTTAAGAAAGACCACCCAAGTCACAGGTCACTGTCAGCCTAAGAATGGGCCCAACTCTGGTCGGTGCTGCCCCTGCCTGGTCCAATCCACTATGGCTGTGTCACATGGCTTGTTACTCGTCTAGCAGGGGCCACGGTGGGGACTGAATCTTTGAGGAGGAGGCATGAGTGGAACATGCATCCCACACACACCCAGGGCAAAACTCCACTGCAAAGGGACCAGTTATACTGCTCTTGTTGCCAAAGGCAATAGTTAAGAAAAATGGGTAGAAAGCACCATACACTCACTAACTCGTTTATTTGTTCACTCATTCATT